ATCTCTCTCCCTTCCTCTCTGTAAAATATCAATAAAATATATTTTTAAAAAAAAAAAAAATAATAATAATCACTGGCCGCGGTGAGTGCTGTAACAGGGACATGCCCAAAGTGCTTTGGGAACAAAATGGAAGTGGGGGGACACATTGGGTGCAGAGGGGGCAGGAAATGTCACACGGGGAAGTGGCTTCGGAGCCCCCAGAAAGGATACACAGGAGCCGGGCCGGTGGGAAGGTGCAGGAAGGAAATTCCAGGCAGAGGGAAAACTGTGAGCAAAGGTCTGAGGCGCAGCCGCCCGGGGTCTGCGGACAGGAAGCAGCGCCAGATGGCCCAGCAGGAGGAAGGCACCCCCGGGCGGGCTGGCGGGGAGGAAAGGCCGAGATGATCAGGATATGGAACTTGGATGCCGTCCCCCGGGAGCAAGGAGCCCCAAAGGTTCTGAACCAAGGACTAACCCTCTCCCACCACCGCCCAGGAACACAGCTCTGCTTGCTGGCCACGCGGTGGGTGAACTGGAGGAAGGTAATACGTCAAGAATCTCTTGCAAGCCTGGTCGCTGTGCCTCAGGGGTTGCATGTCAATCCATGAACCAGGAGGTCACGGTTCGATTCCCGGTCAGGGCACAGGCCCGGGTTGTGGGCTCCATCCCCAGTGTGGGGCGTGCAGGAGGCAGCCGAATAATGATTCTCCCTGATCATTGATGTTTCTGTCTCTCTCTCCCTTCCTCTCGTAAATCAATTAAAAAATAAAAATAAATAAAAAGAACAAGGAAGTTGAGGGGTTTAATGGAAAATGCCCTCTGGCAGGCAGATCCCACAGTAGGAGGGTGGCGCCCCACACGGGCATCACCACTCTGTAACTCTCAGCCCCCACAAGGCCGGCTCCGGCCCCTGCTCCCGGGCCGGCCCCTCTCGCTGGCTGGTTCCTGTTTCCTAGCCGAGCTGGGCTGCACTAACCATGCATCACCTGGGCCTGGATCGGCAGGGGAGCCCTCGGCCCAACAGACGGCAAATCTGAGCTCCTCCGTGACAGAGAAGCTGAAAGGAGAACAGATCTGTGTTCGGAGGGAAAAGGAGAAGCAGGAGACGGGCGTGCAGCAGCGTCTCCTGCAGCTTCGGGGGGAAGTCGGTCACCCCCAGAACCGCCCGCTTCCTGCCCTCTGCCCGGAGCTCATCGGAGCCGGTGACCCGTGGCCCGGGCCTGGGGACACCCACCTCCAGCCGTCGGCGGTGGCTGAGCAGACACCCCTGCAGCAGGGGCTCGCACTTCCGGAGCAGCGGGTCCCAGCGGCTAGCAGCCCCCTCACACTTTGGGGGATCCGGGGAGCAGGAGGAAGCGGCGTCTGTGTCCAGTACAGAGAGTGGCTCACCCTGCAGCCGGGGGCCGCCCGCCCGGGTCCAGGAGG